GGCAATTTTGTATTTGGCTTTATTCTGTGTTGTGTGAAAATAGTGTTTGTGAATTTTGGATCCCATGGCTGTAACTAAAGTGAATTCGAAATGGGTATTTAGTGGTATTGAAAAGGATAGTAATAAATGTTTTTTAAGGTTGGTGCGAGAGAGAAATAAAGATGTTTTATTATGTTATTTATTTTACCTGGTATCTTGCTTTGAAAGATAAGTATGATTTTAAAGATTCTGAAACAGAAGTAAGAAAAGTGTATCCGCCACGTAATCAAGATTCTGAAGAAGATTAGGTAAGTTAGTATTTTTTAATTATTTGAGGATATTATTTTTATGCATTGTTGTAAATGTAAGGTGGAAAGGAATTTGGTATTATTGGGAAAAATTGTTATTAGCAATGATTTAGTTTAAAGTAATTAGGATTGTAAAGTAATTTTTATAATTAATGTATGTGCTCATTTATATTTTAAGTAGTGTTTTTGAATTTAATTATATTTTAATGAAATGATAGTTATTTTGTGAATTTTGTTTGTAGGAAGGAATTTGGTATACGTTTAAGTTGAAATAAACGTGCATGGAAATAATTTAAATATTTGATATTAAGTATTTGTAATGCATGAGGTATGAATTCGTTGGTGACGTGTATAATGTAATAGATGATTTAGAGGTAAAAGTTTTTGGATATTCTATTTATTTTATATGTGGAAATGTTGATATTTGTAAAGGGTAAATACTTTTTCGCGATCATGTAATTTCATATATGTTCTTTTTTACCGGGTTTAAAGATTGAGAAAATTGTCATGTATTTTCGTGAAATTTTTTTAATTTATGAGAAAAAAGCAGTGTACATGGATATAGTGAAGAGTGTGCGCAATGCCATTTTTGTGCAATTCTGGGATGTTTTTTTAAGTAAAAATAAGTCGACGTGTACATGGTTTAGTGATATTTTAATGAAATGATAGTTATTTTGTGAATTTTATTGTTGTAGGAATTTGGTATACGTTTAAGTTGAATAAACGTGCATGGAAATAATTTAATATTTGATACTAAGTATTTGTAATGCTTTCGGTATGAATTCGTTGGTGACGTGTATAATGTAATAGATGATTTAGAGGTAAAAGTTTTTGGATATTTTATTTATTTATATGTAGAAATGTTCATATTTGTAAAGGGTAAAATACTTTTTCGCGATCAGGTAATTTCATATGTTCTTTTTACCGGGTTTAAAGATTGAGAAAATTGTCATGTATTTTCGTGAAATTTTTGTAATTTATGAGAAAAAAGCAGTGTACATGGATATAGTGAAGAGTGTGTGCAATGCCATTTTTGTGCAATTCTGGGATGTTTTTTTAAGTAAAAATAAGTCGGCGTGTACATGGTTTATGTGTATGTGTTATTTTTGAAAAATGCGTAAGGAGAATGGTATTGTACGGTTTTTCCTAATTTTGCAGTGAATATTTGTCATGATTAAGCAATTTTGTTTGATAAAATTTCTAGCATAAGTGTAATTCGGCTAGTAGATTGTTGGAAGAAGTGTTCAGGAGATAAAAAGAAAAGAAACATGTCTTTACTTCGTGAAGACAAAATGGCGGCGGGGAAAAAAAAATAGAGGGTTGCTGTAGGAGAGTTGGTCGCCAAATTTTCGCCAAAAAATCGCCAAGTTACGATAATGTAAAGATCAACCTAGCATTCATATGATGAGCTTGTCTTACGAGTCAATAAAGCATGGCAATCTGTCTGAGCTGACATGATCGTATTAGCTTTGCAAAGAAAATGAAGATAGTGACTTTGAAAGAAGTGATTTAAACAGAGTAATGAAAGTGACACTAACGGCCATTTGTTTTTGACATCGATGAACCACATTTTGAATAAGTAAATGTAGTTTATTTTAATTATAAAATTATGTTTGATTATCTAATTTATGTACTCTTTTTTTATAATACCTAATTTATGATGATAAACAGATAAAGTTTATGATATTGTAGAAATCAGCAGAGTCCATTTTTGGCAAGTTGAAGGTAAGACATTCATTTATTTTTTATATATTTACATATAACTGTTTATAGTTATGTTGTAAATATTATAAAATATTATGAATGATGATTACATCAATATGGAAGGGAATTACTGTATAAATGAATATTAAGTGCCATGTTACAGAATGCTTTGCTACAGTATATATATTATCCAATGAAACTTCATTTTTTAAAAAACAATGGTTAATCTTTGGATTATGGTAACTTGGCAATTTTTTGGCGAAAAATTTGGTGACCAACCCTGCTACAGCAACCTACTGTTTTTTTTTTTTTTTTGGACGCCATTTTGTTTTTACGAAGTAAAGGCATGTTTTTTTTTTTTTCCCTCAACATTTTTTTCCAACAATCTGCTAGCCGAATTACGCTTATGCTAGAACTTTTATGGAACAAAAGTGCTTAATCATGATGAAGATTAGGTGCGAAATTGGGAGAAAGTTCAGAATCGCAAACTGCTTGCCGCGTTTTTAAGAATTGCACATACACGGTAACAATTTACACGTCGACCTATTTTCACTCATCCCAGAATTGCACAAAAATGCCATTGCGCACACTCTTGACTTTTATCCATGTACACTGCTAAACTCCTAGCTAGTAGCCTTTATCGCCTTACCAAAATGTCACTAAACTACCTGTTACCATATTCCAAAGATTAGCCGAAACAATTAGCATGTGTGCAACATATATGACAGTGTTGCTTATCTACCCAAAATTATGGTATATAATATTTTTACATAAAAATAGTATAATGCTTTGCTACAGTGTATCTAGTGATGCAGCTTATCCAATGAAACTTATTTTTTTTTTCAAACGATTATCATATGTGCAACATATTGCAGCTTATTTACCCAAAATTACAGCAGGACAGCTTATTTACCCAAAATTATGGTATATAATATTTTTACATGAAAATAGCACATAAATTACAGGGCAAGAAGTTGTTACACTTAGTATTAAAAATACATTTAAGAGTTTACAGGAAATTTATCAAAATAAATTATTACTGATCAACTTTAAAGTATTGATAACAAGCAAAGAATACAGAACTTTACAAAATCTAGTCTTTTAACTTCAAAGTAAATTTAACCCTCTGAGTGGCACAGCCTTTAGAATCTGCTCATGAAAATCTTTAAACAGCATTTATTAACGAAATTTGAATAATTACTTAATTTAGTCTCTCTTTTCATAAATTTCTGTTCATTAAGGTGATATTTATATCATTAAGAAAGTAAGAACACAAAATATTCTAAACTGTAAGCTAATGACTAAAAAATCTTGTAACTGGATAAAGTCAGTCATACCACTTAGGGGGTTAATATCTGTAGCAATGTCACAATAAACTCATCAGAAAATCTTTTATTTTTTTAGTTTTTTATTTGTCACTGATCATTCAATATCTTAAAATCACACAGAAGTTTAAAGAAATTCAGTTTTATATCAACAATTATTTGAAAGAAATTTTGGTACTATCACAGTATCTCCCCAACCCTAACAAGAATCACTGGGCAAAGCACTATGATGCAACAAAGTAGACAACTCATGAAATATATTTTATCTGGCTAATTTATCTCACTAATGGTTGTGTATGCATAATGCCACTATCTCGGTAGTGGCAGTAATGTGTACGTTCTTTGAAATTCGAGGATAATATTTGTAGTTTCTGTTTGTTGGATTAGTGTGTGAAGTTCCCCCCCCCTTGTAACAAATCATAATACTACTGTAGAATATGGCTGCTAATAGAAAAGGAAGTGTTGCATTTCCTAAAGAATATAGTGTTTTGCCTAATAGTAGATGGAGTAAGAATGTGCATTCCATGAAGTTAAATTCCACAATTCTCCGATTTTTTTTTAAGCTAAAACATATCGATGTGTATATTGAGAGCAGTGTGAATTTGCTCTGCAATGTCGACAATTCTAAATCCTCTAATGCTTTTCTATGTTAAAAAGAGATCCCAATGTGCAGCCTGGATAAAAAGACCAGGAAAAAAGTTATTTTATTATGAATATTTACTGCATTTTTAATATTTCATGTAATTTTGAATTTCTCATTACAGATGTTTAATTTCATTAATTTTTTATTGCTTCATGTAATTTTCAGCATGCAACCATTTTTTTACATAATTGCCGCTTTCCACATCTTAGATTGGCATCTGCGGAGGTAAGATGGCCAGATAACGTGAGAGTACCAAAATTTTTTATTAATATGAAGAAAATCTAAAATATTTCTTCCCCTTCTTAATGAAATAGATAAATAATTCTCTTAAAATACAGAGTTTTACCTTTAAAATGAATTCCATTTTAGTCTTACAAACATATACAAATTATTAGCAAAATAGTTACATGAATTCAACAGAAAGGTGTTTGATAAGACAGATTAAATAGAACAGAATACACAAAATTAAATGGAAAATATAATTTTAAAACTTCATCAACTTCCCAAGAATGCAAACTAACTTAAAGCATAAATACATGTTAATTCCCAAAGTTTAACACAGTGTTTGGCAACTTAAGTAGGCTATTACTTGATTTTGCATGCATTTTGCTGGTCTGCTTGCCAGCAAAGATTTGCTCACTGTGATTCTTTCAAATTTTACAGAATTATATATTAATATTATCTACAGAATAAAATTTCTACAGAATTTTACATAAATAATATCTACAGAATAAAATTTCTACAGAACTTTATAAAGGACCATTTCTATGGATTATAAACTAAAGCATTCTATCAGCCTCTAAAAATTTTTTCGTAAGGGAATGCAATATAATGCATCCATTGTTGAAATTTTATTCCTTTTTGCCTTTTCATCAGTTTGAGATTATAGTTATGTAAGTAGTTTATTTATAAATTTTATTAGCACTTTACTCATCTTAAAAGAAAAAAAAAATATTTCGTTAAAGTTAAAATGAAGAAAATAAGTCAAATAACATTTAACTCTGGTAAATAATATACAGTAAAATTTCAGTTTAAACTCACTTCTCATATATTTCAAAAATAGTTTCACGTCTATTTTACATGAAAATGTATGTACGCCTAATTAAAACTACACCGTGCCGTGTCAAAGAATGTTTTGGCCGTGTTTTCCGTCTACAATTTAAAATAAGACCATCAACAACAGGTTTCCATGGTTTACAATCCGTTGCCATACATGACTGTGAAATAAAGAATGTTTGTCTCCGTATCTGCGATTCAATTCACCTATAGGTGACGCTTTCATACATTAGTATGGCAGATAAAAATCGGTATTTTGATTTGTGATCTGACTTCGTACATTCGAAAATGGAGTTGTTTAGCTCTTCCGAAGTGTTTGATTTTGGGTTTAATCCTAGCATCCGGTGCACACGGGATTTGGCTACTTTGGCGACTTTATGATGAACAGTAAAAACAGGACACATACGATGAGTAGTTAGGCCGATGCTATTCTCACCACCGGTGCGATTAGCCCCTTAACCCATCAACGAGCCCGCCTCTCGGAACGAAATGCTTTTAAAACGGCCGCGTTGTCAGACAACAAACCCCTCCAAAAAAATCGCTTTCGTTTTCTGAAATCTCTCTAAGATGGCCAGCCTAAGGCAGATGTGTTGCTTCCCCTTAGTGTGATGGATAAGCCATAAAATTGCCTCCCCGGTATTGAATGGCTTGCGTTTTTTCGTTCTCCCTCCTCTTTCTTTGTACTAATTGTCTGTAGACTTGTTTCTTTTTAACATGTGACGGCCCGAATTTTCCGAAAATATTTTTAGAATTTTATCTTCCAAGCTTGTAAATTTTCAATTATTCGACATGTTTTATTGGGCAGTTATTTTAAGAAAGATCATTATTTATTTTGTTACACAATTTTTACTATTACTAATCTATTTTATTTAATTTTAGTAGGCCAATTTATTTTGGAAATTAAATTTTTTTAATCCATTCTTTTACCGACTGTTTTCATCACATTATAAGACATATATATATTACGATAAGATTACAATATTATCAGGAATTTTTGGGAAAATTGGCATACGGATTTAATTTTAGCTGAATTTTTTCACAAGTTGTTCGTTAACAGCGAGCTATCTCGTAAAAACGCTGATCTTTTTCAGCATGGAAATGGCAAGCAATAATCTTCCAATATTTATCGGGATTATAGCAATTTAGAATTTGGCGGTTTTCTACAAATATTTTGGAATTTAAAGGCAAAAAAATGTATTCCTTCGTTGATTTGAGAGATCGCATTTCGAATTTAAACGGAAGTTTAAATGAATTTGATACATCTTAGCCCAGACTAGAAGAATTATTCTCGTGTGTTGGATGGATTTTTCTCACTTTCTGCATTTGATAGATTAAATGCATAAAGCAGACACGCACAAATAGAATTTAAATAGATTTATTTAAATAAATTTCTATTTTCATTTAAAATTTGTCATATTAGCAACTCCCGCAGTTTTATGCAATCATAGGATTTCCGAATTCTATTAGGTCGTTAACATAATTCAAGGGCCGATAGAAAAGTGATAATATGGAAAGACTATGTCTTAAGTACCAATAGCAAGTATTTGTAATTAAATAAAAATAAATATTGAATACCAGCCGCTTTTTTATTTATTTTAGTCATATAACAAAAAGATAACAAGAATACTATTACATCTAAGAATATAAGTAAATTATTTTGCTAATGTTATATGAATGATGAAACACGGTAAAAATGTTTAATGATTGAATTCACCGTTTTAAAAATCAAACAAACCCCAAAATTCCTTTTTCCCAAAACTTCGTAAAATGTTTGATTAAATATGATTGAATAAGTTTTCCAATTATGTTTTTTGATGATATAAATGAGGATATAAATATTATTAAATTAGATATAAATAACAGGATATAAATTATTATTAGTAATAATTTTTGTATTATAACTTAAAGAATATCGTTTCCGTTAAAAATTATATCTAAAAGAAAGTAATTTTGTAAAAAGAATAAAAAAATCTAATCACACTGTGTCCATTTCGTACTTATTGGTCGTCTAGTGTATAAAACTGAAATCTGGCTAAGGGAATTCACGACTTGTATATGAAGCTAAAAATTGGTATCTTATTGACAAAACTTGTCAGAGCATAAAAAGCGTATATTTCTGTGATATTAGTGTATTAATCATACTTCTGTATACATAAATGCAGCTTATAATTACCAGCATAAGTAATCATAATGGAATTTTATTAAAACGACGAAAACTGAATGCATGATTCTAGCATTATCAAATTACGGCTCTTTATCCCGTTAAATATTGCTTTGGGTCGTAACCAACACGAGTTTTATTTTTGAAATATTATTCCAAATAAAACAGGAAGCGTTAAACTACATGCATTTTAAACAGTTTTACGTTTATATGGCATACAAATGTTAAGTAGATTTAAATTGTACTTCAGTTCTGAAACTTCTGCGGTATTATTTTTAGAACAGATCAAGGACTTAAAAAACAAGTACATTTTAGTAATATGCAACGTTAATGATATAGTTCAAATGTTATTGAACAACTGTACGATTTGTAACTGGCACTGGAAAGAAGCAAAATTTATCTACAACTTTCCCTTTCTTCTCAAATTCGTCTGATTAGCAAGGATTGAATAGATAATTGTAAACGTCTTTGCTAAAAGTAATAATAATCGGGAAGAATCCTTTCTACCCCTGCCACCTGGGAAAAGAAAAACGACTTGGAAGGGAACCTGACCTCCGCAGGCTAACTGACCACTAAGGTCTCCAAAGACTATTTCTAGTCAATGAGTTTTTTTCATTGTAGAAATACTCATTATCTAGAGCTATCTTTTTTTCTAGCCATTGTAAGCTACAGATATAGAGGGAAAAAATTCTCATTTTACATAATTTTCGGATAATTACATTTTACGTTAAATAATTTTAGATTTTGATTAACGCAATCGATGAATATGGCAGAATAATAGTTGTTGTAAACATTTTAAATTTCAACGTTTTTTTAAGTAAAGATTTCAAGTAAACCAAACCAAAGATTATTAAATTAGTCTTATAATGTTTACTGTTTGGTTTTCAGTGTTCTGAATTTGCATTTTAAAAACATAATTTAAATAATCTTTCTTTACGCTAGTCGCTTTTAAAATATTTACCTATGTAAACACTTACTAATCTTTAATGTAGCAACTTTGTATGTACTTAACGAAAGACTTAGAGGAATTTATAAAGAAAACTAGTTCACATGGAAAAAATCACGAAATCTTCCTTACAGCCAACGTATTGACCAGAAACTAAAACCAGGTCAAAATACTTATGATCATCTCTTTTATCCACATAGCCATTGGTAAACTTTTCAAACTTATACTTGTTCTTATTGCAGTTATAAACAGAAATGTGAACACTCAGATACTGCGCTTGTATCTGTTAAGTTAGTACTGTAAGTTAGTACAGTCTGCGGCTGATTCTATATCTGCCGAGGTGTTTTCGAAAAAAACTTGAAAGATAATAAATTATGTTACCTGCTGAGTCATCGAAATATTATATATTTGTTTATTGAAAACTGAAAATTTATAATTTTCTATAAAACTGCATAGAATTATGCATTGAGTAATCTTCAGTGTGATGTAATTAGTGTCCTAAATATAAAAGTATGTAAAAATCAAATTGGAAATTGCAGCAAATCAGTCCCTAGAAATATGCTATGCCTGTATTAATCTAGTAGCAATCAATTATTCATGAACATTATAGTATGCATGCCATATAACAATTTGTCAGCAGTACAGGAAACAATTTCGATATGCGTGCCTTTTCATTTAACATAGTTTTCTCTCGTTACTTTTAAGATAAAACATGTAACTTGAAATAGTTTTTCTTCCTCCAGCTTTCACTTATTTACTTCTTAAAATATCTCCACTAAAATCAGAGTGATATTATCAACGATTTTTCTTTATTATATAAATATAAAATTCATCTTTTATATATAAATAATTGAAATGCTTAAAATTTGACATTCTATAAATATTTTATAGTAACTCTCTGAAAAAATTTAACTTCTTTTAAAATGTATGAAAATGAATTAAGTCGTGTCTATTTTTTCCAGTCTTAATGATAATAAATTTTAGAATCATCAGTTATATATCCGTATTGATTATGAGAAATTATCTCATTCTTCTTTGAGCTGAAATTGCTCAATGGAGCTTCTTCCAGCTAGAATTTAAACTCGGGGGTAAGTGATAGTAGATCGGACAACAGTCGGAATGCCTGTGGTGCGTATTCCGTGATAGGATAACGGATGTTTCGGGTTTTTTTTTTTTTTTTTTTTTTTTTTTCTCGTAAAAAACGCTATGTCTCTTCAATGGCACCCCAACGAAAACATGTCAGACGATAATTCGTTAACACATGAATTATTCCGACAGTGCCTCGTGCTTCTTCTCTCTCGCCCTTTAAATGAAACAAATAATAAAGGAATTATGTCATTCTCACTATCTTGTTATAAATGCAAATCCTTCCAGCTAGAATTTGGAAGACCTCCTTATTATAAGCACAATGAGGGCACTGCTGAATTTTCGCATTTCTTGCTTTGAAAAAAATCCAATGTCTCTGCATGGTATCTTTCTGTTTGTGCAGCATTCGAAATTATTCCGCTTTCGCAAATTTTTCAAATTTACTTTTTCTTGTATCGTTTTTCCATTTTTCGTATATTGATAGGTGAAACAATGCAGATTTCTGTCTATTTTCTTAAGTTTTCGTGTCGGCAGAAAAATATACTGTTCGCATTTAAAATTGGTTTTAATGCTGTGAAATGATTTGATTGTTTGGGTTCTTTTTTCCTTTTCTTCCTTTAAAGATTTATTTTTTTCTTCCATATACTTATTTATTTATTTACATTTTAATCTAATAGTCTCCCAAAAACTAAAGCGATAAAAAGTTCTTTGATTTCAAGATAAAAGAAACTTTCATTATGCTTTTTGAATTTCTGCAGCAATCTTTCACCAGTAGGATTTATTTTCTTCTTTCACCTACTGATACTATGTGATTCTATATCTGTAATGTATTGTGTGTGAGTGTGTCTAATGGTTTAATGATATATTATGTCATCAATGATATATATATATATAATCAATGATATATATATGCATTCATATTTTAGCATATGTATATATTAGAAT